GGAGGGCAGGTCCGTCATTGACCCTTACACCTCTTTCATGGACACCATTTATACCTCTTTTCTTCAAGTGAGTGCTAAAGAGCAGGAAGACGGGGCTCAGCTGGGGCCGTCAGACCCAACTTCACCCTTCTGTGCCTTACCGCCGGTTTCTTTCCCCCTGGAGCACCAGAGCTCGTCCACTAATGCCCCCACTCTGCCCCAGGCAAGCGCCCCCGTCTCCCTGAGCCCACGGCGAGCTTGCTCGCTCCGCAACCCGGACTTATCACGACTCAGCTTGGAAGCTGCCGCTCATTCTCCGGCCCAGGGAACGCCCAAGCCAACAGAGGACGGGCTCCAGAGGAAGCCAGTCATAGAGGGACACACCCACCTAGAGCCACCTTTGCACCCCGTATACTTGGAGGAGGCGAAGACGGACTGTACTGGTCCAGCAGCAGCAGTTTGTCCATTCGTGGAGATGGGCGTGGACAGGCAGGGACAACGTTCGCACGCGGGATACCTCAGTCCCAGAGACGGACGCAGCGAGAGACCCAGCGAAGAGACAACGGAGACATTGCTGCTCACTGGACAGGGAATGGTAAGCGTTTGTCTTCTGCCTTAAGACAGAATTTATGTTCTGAATTATTTACTTCTGTGGCTTTAAAAATATTTTTTATATGGAGTTTAAAAACGGTGGTCAAGGTATTGTGATTAATTAGAATTACTACCAAGATATGAATTCATAATAATGTTGTAATCTTAATCCGTGGTTCTGCTTCAAGGATCAAGCAGGGGCTGCAGGTGGAGCCAGACGAGGAAGGAAAAGAAAACAAACGTAAGTTCATCTTGGACACTCTCTGGACACTTTTCTGCTTTAAATAAATATTTGGAGTATAAGTCTTACTCTCTGTAAGCTTTAATTGTTGCGTTTCTTACTTTCTTAGGCTTCAGAACGTGTTAGAAGATTTCAGAGACATGGATGCTACAGCACTAGAGGAAACCAAGGCTACAGTAAGACACACCTGCCCCTCTAAGACTGTTTATCAGAACAACCATGTTTTTTATAAGTTGTATTTTGTTGTTAAGTAAGATTCTTTCCAATATGTCTTATTTGATGTCTTTTATTCTCATAGACAGTAGAATGAACAAATTAGGTGTTTATATAATTTAATGCAGAGAGCATCTTCCACATGTTGCTTTTCCACCTTCCCCTCATTGAAATGTCTTGTCTATTGATCCCACTAAAGTTTTCATAGTAATATAAAGTTTACAATTTTATTGAGTCATTTGACTTTGCGGCAACTTGAGCAAATCTACAGTCAATATAAATTCTTCTTTTTAAACATCCTTCAAGCTGTTTGAGCTGTTCAAATACATCCTTAAAACCTTACACGAAATTACATTCCTTCCCACGAGGAGCGCATTTAAATTTCTGTAAACACTCTTGAAAATAATTTGAATATCCCCACAGTTGGAGTCCAGAAATTATATTTTATGTACATAATTCGGTTGAGTTTTGATTTAAAAAGTGTAAATACTATGGAAATAAAAGACTTGTTGACTTTGGTTGTTGAGAAAATGTTTGCTGTTTAGACGAATGCGGGTCCAGTCTGGCTAAGTGGATTGGATTTAGCCAGACTAAGTCCAATCCACTTAGCCAGGTCTCTGCCTGGAGCAAGAACATCCGAGTTCCCGTTAATATTTGTCCTTTTTTAACCCATTGTTAAATGACGTTCTTCCTTCTTTTGACATCTTCCTCTCCTTTCCTTCCTTGTGTCCTTTCTTTGTGTGTGTGTGTGTGTTTTTTTTAACATGTGAAGGACTGAGAACTTTGAATAAATGAATTTGGGAAAACTGCATTTTAAATTTTTTTTACAAGAAAGATGTGTCGTCACTCAGGATTAGTTTGTTACGTGAAGAGTTGAACGTTGCGCTTACGTGAGGCTTTCTCCCGTTCCAGGCGGCGCTCCTGAAACCCGACAGGTCCGTGCGCGGCAGGCGGAGACGAGGTACCAGATCTCAGAGGCAGTGACTAGTTGAAGACATTCAGCAGTAAAGCGGCGGCCAGGCGCCTCCCGACACACCCCATCCATCTCTGCTGTCGTCACCACTGCTTCGACCATTTCAGTGGGAGAGGAGACGAACCGAAACAAAAAAACAACTGCACTAACGGGATGCTGTCGTCGGGTCAACTTGAGTGTGGCAACCACTATTTAAAATAACACATAGGAGAAAGATATAGGCAGATGAATTTATTTTTTGAAACTGTGTGGGAGGGAGGGGGAGATTTTTGTGGATAGTTTTTTCACTAGATTTTCTCTTAAGTCATAAAACAACGTCTGGACTTTGTGATCAGAGACCTTTCAACTAGGTTGGTGTTATATCAATGAAAAACAACGAGTACTGTTTTCTTATCAGTGTGTTACTATGAGTCAGGATAAAACCTGTCTACTTGAATGATGTTCTGTGTTGAAAGTGTGTCTCCGTGTGTGTGTGTGTGTGTGTGTGTGTGTGTGTGTGTGTGTGTGTGTGTGTGCTTGAGTGCGTGCTGTTGCTGAGCCCCAGTTGTGTTTGTTTTGGTATCAGTATAGAAGAACCAGTCTCTCATAGCTGTTGTGTTTTTAAAGGCGGTGGTTGTATTTGAGAGAGCATCTTCTTTTAAGGTTTGAAGGAAGTGCTGAGAAGCGGTGAGAATGAAATGAATCCCTTTCCTCTTGAACTCCGATTCGACGTTGCTAAGGAAATGGTGTGGCTTGGGTTTCTTTGGCTTGTTTACATCAACCACCAAAAAAAAAGACAAAAAACAAAAACATAGCCATTCGTTAGCTAGAACTGTTTATTACTTGTAAGAATTGCTCATAATTAATGGAGACACAATTTAACATTCTTTTGTACACTATTCTAAATCTTCTTTTTTTTAGTTACTAAGCCTGGGTCTCTAACTTCCTTCTGAAATGACTGAATTTGTGAGGTTTTTTTTTCTCAAATCCACAACAAATCTTGGAACAGTTCATGATACTTGAGGTGCATTTTGTGACTTTTTGGCAACTCTAGTTGCATTTCACGTAATATTAAAATGACACGTTGCTACAGTGCGATGGAGAGTATTTCAAAGGCCCGCTCCCATCCACCCATTACGGATCTAAACATTTGCACAAACTTTGAGGTTGTGGAAAGTACTGTATGTCTTTTTAAAATTGCAGAAGTGGCTTGCAAGGGTAACAAGACAGAGCGTGATGGTGTGTGTGTGTGTGTAACTGTTGAGTCTGTGTGTGTAACTGTGGACTTGGAGTGATGCGTTTATCCTCCCTGTGTTTCCTCATATCACTCTCTGAGCTCTCCTCCACTCACTGCCCTGCCCCAGGAGTTTTGGCATCTCTCTGTATTTAAAAAATATATATAAAAAGAAAAGTGAAAAGAAAAGCAGATTATGCAATTTCTATACTTGGACATTTTGTATATATGTATAGTTAATGTGTTTGATTTTATATTGTCAGAGAAACACCAGAGAAAACAATTGTGAATTTTCTTGGAATTGTAATTATTTTTCTCATTCTACCCCCTTTGCTTTCAATACCTATGTTTAAAAAAAGAAAGAGGAAAGAAAAAAAAAAGACGATTAAATTGTGGACTGTAGCGTTCTTTTTTTATATGGGAGTCATTTTTTATTTAATATTAAACTATTTACACAAAAAATGTTTTGTTTTTGTTTTTCTGTTACTGACGAGTGCCATAAATTCGAGAGGCGTTTTGCTTTTGAGTCAGATTATGGAAAATGATAAATATTAACTTTAGATATAAATTTCAGTTCTATTATTGGTGCTAACTGTTGGTAAATAATCAATTTATAAATCACAGTACATTGCTGTGTTATCTATATATCTTTCATTTTTGCATTTGTCATGCTTCTCCAAGAACCTTAAGAAAATCTCAAGGCTTTTATTTAGTAGACCAGCCCAATCATGAAATGGAGGAATACATGCTTTCTCCTTCTGTTTTTTTTTTTTTCCCAAACAAAAATGGATTTTCACAATCTTTCTATTGTCAGACAATGGATTACAACAAACAGTGCGCCAGGAAAAGTTTGGAATATTGTTGGTTGCAGAACTGCCTGACTGCAATGCACACCACACTTTCCAGATCTTAATGGGGTTTTTTTCCAGTTCACATTTGGAATAATTTTTTGTTGGTCTGTCACATAAAACCCCCTAAATCTCAAATTATATCAATACTTTTCTGAGGCAGTGCAAGTCCTACATGAGACATATGAACCTGAACCACCATTGGCTCAAAGATTTTTTTCAAATAATCAATAACTAGATGTTACTGTGTACCATTATTCTGCTTCAAAATAAAGCCATGTATAGTTTACCTTTACTATCACCACGTCCCAAATAAACAATAAACTGACCACGAACAAACATTTTCTGTTTCAAATGACAAAATTTGGAAACGTTCTAGATGTGTGGATACTTTATTAAGGCACAGCTTATCAGAAAGTCAGTTTGTTTTTCCATATTCACATGGAGCATTTACGCTTACATACAGGATATACTTTGGCAAAAAAAAAAAAAACATTGTTTGTGAAACAAATCACAATTTGAGAGAAATAGGCCAAGATGTGACTCAAGGTACATTGTAACATTGTCAAAAGAATTGAAGTATGTTATAATATGACAAAATGTGATAAATAAATAAATTACAATTGCTGCATCTTCAAAGTGAGGTTCAGACATTAACAATAGCCGCTCTCCACCCAGAGCCCACTTTTAACTATTTATGAATTTTTTCAAAGTGGCTTCATGAGATCAGAAAGAAAATGGTTATGAATGATGATTCATATAGTCTTAAAACATTTTTATTTATTTATTTTTTTGGGAGGAGGGGGTGGGTCTCCTGATCAGTGCGATGCGCCTCATGTTGGCTCCCACTTCCTCTTCCTATAATGATGCGGCTCTGACTCCAGATGATGCTGAGTCTGTGGGTACCGCTTTAAAGAAGCGGATGCTGACCACGCCCTTCCGCGAACCACCGACAGAGGGCGCCGTTTCAATCCCGCGCAGGCCGAAAGAGCAGCAGCTTTTACCTCACTGCCCTTCCAGCAGCATCTCACCTTCAGCCGGCCACACGCACATCCGCCGACGCCCCCGACGGAGACACCAGAGAGGCAGGAGACACAAGAGAAAAGCAAACGGGGCGAAAGCGTTCAGCACCAGGGCCAACTGATTTAATAATGTAGGGCTTGTTTGTGCGCTCTGACATCTAATTTAGCCTGCCCGCTTCACTGCGACACAGAAAATCCCGCATAGATCTACCGCAACCGATCAGCCCGGCTTGTCCTTCGCACCTCCCGGGACGCAAGCAGTCGACCTCCTTCCGCCAATCCGCTGCTGTTTGGTTTGTTTTGCCTTTTTCCCCCCCATTTGGGCAGTCGGATCAGGCCGCATCTGCTCGCCCTCCAGCCTCAGCAGCATCATCTTCCCAGCAGCAGCATCATCATCCTTCTCCTCAACGCCACCCTCGAATCTGCGCAATGGCCGACGTACCAGCGGAGTGCAACATAAAAGTGCTGTGTCGCTTTCGCCCCCTCAACCAGTCCGAGATCATCCGCGGGGACCAGTTCCTGCCCAAATTTCAAGGGGACGACACAGTGATCGTGGGGGTGAGTGAGGATGGGGGAGCCGCTTTGTTGCAGGCCCTTCATCAATAAATCAGCGGCTGAGCTCCGAGCCCTCCAGTCTGTTTGGCTCGGAGCTCAGCCGCTGAACGTGATGCAGCGGCTCCTTTCTCTTGTTCTGCTGTCATGACAAAGCGCAAAAGTTCAGCATTCATGTGATGTTTCTGAAATGCGCACATTGGCCTAGTGCATCAGGGGACTGCGCTCTGCGTGGTGTTTAGATTGTTCTGGTGTTTATTTTTGTGTGAACGCAGCGATTTTAGTTGAAAATGATTGATTCTTATTAACGACGAAGAAATACGGAAGCTCATCTTTGCCCACCTTGCCTCAGTGTTAAAGAGGCCCTGGGTGGTGTATCCCCCCCTCCCCCCACCACCTACCTAATATACACTGACAGTAAACACATTGCCCGGTGATATGTTCACAGTGAAATTTCTTTGTAAATCATTTTTTAAGTGCATTGAAGAGAGAAAAGAAGTAAATTCTGTCTCTTTAAAATTTGGGTTGATGACATCACAGGAGGCACAGCAGTCACTGTGCACTTAAGCCACGAAGGAAGACTTTATTTTTTGTCAGTTTAGGCTACAAGTTTTATGGAGATAAGCTGTCCCAAGAAGATTCAAGCAGAACATCTAATCTTATTAGATTGCAAATTACTATAATCAGAAGTCTTTCTATGCTCTATTTTGATTTATTCATTTTCTAATCCTTTGTGGTCCAGACAACTTTTATAAAATATGACAAATTTTGGCCAAAAATAACTAACCTCTGGTTGCAGGTATTATTATTTCAAGTCAAAATGGTGGATGACATAGTTTTGTGCCCAAAAGCAACCATCACTGCTAACTTATGAAGTGGGAAAGAGGGCAACATGAGCAGCTCTTGAATCAGACCAGGTGCCATTAGTAAGCGTTAGTGTAGAAAAGCAACTTTTGATAGATTTCATTATATAGATTTTTTTTTTACATTTGGAAGCAGATAAGTTACATCAGAGTAAAGGCAGTGGCCAGATTTTGATTCATTCATCTTGATGGATCCAATTATTTCTGACTCATGAGAGTCAGAGAAGCAAAGTCTGATGTTGCTTTTCCCCCCATTGTTCTCAAGCAACAATGGAGGAAAGTCTGCTGATCCACTGATAGATATTTACCAGGTGGATTAAATATGATCCTGGCTTAGACAGGGGTTGCAGAAAATCTTACATTTGCAATGAAATATGACTTTGTTAATATAATTTTCAATTTTTGAAGATGAACTTTGGTCAACTAGTGCCTGTTCAATGAGAACAGTTCTCATCTTGACCTTCCTTTCCTCTGTTGGCAATAGGTTGGACACCAGAGCTAGAAACCGATCTGTCTAATTGCCTAAAGAGCAGATCAATAATCATTCAGAGACAGCATGCATTACCGCCTGACCTGGTTTTTCATGTCTCTGGCTTTTAGCATCTCTCTCCTCTTGGGTCTTCCAATATTTCTTTGTTTTTCATTTCTTGTTTTTTTTTTTTTAATCATCCTCTTGGCTTTCTTTATTGTCTCTCTTGTCTCCCTTCATAAATTTGGTTTCCCCAACGCTCCCATCGGAGAGTGACTGTCTCTCCCTCATAAATCACTCTGACGTGTAGGTGGACTGCAGATGAGTCAATTTGCTAATGATGATTAATACAGCTCAGTTTCTGGCTGCTGACATTATTATGGAAGGCTGGCCTCAGGTTTAGACGGTACGGTGATGGAGGTTACTGACTCACTTATTAGTGTGTCTCATAGATGCCTACATTTGGTGCAATTGAATAAAAAGCGTACCATTCTGGATTTAAGCACCAGCACATGGATTAAAAATACTCTCAGATAAAAATACTGACTCTCAGTTTAAGAGTCGGTATTTGTTTAGAAGGTCTGTATTTTATTCAGACATTAGGATGTTATTATATATAAACAACTAGCAAAGCAAAAAAATAATAATATCCTGATTTATTGCTTTGATGGAGAGTAGAAGTGATATTGTAGAGTTTTACTAACCATATAAAGGAGTAACACTTGGTAAAGAAGTTACTAAGTGTTGTCCAGAGTTTACATGCTGCATGTTGGTTGTTTGGACAAAGATTTTGTTTTTAACTGTAGTGGTTAGTAACCAATCAGGGCGAATGAATTATCAACAAGTTGTCCAGAACCTAGTGTAAAACTACAAAACATATTGTTTAGCCAAACTTTATTTTCCAAAACATTTTCTTCTCTGATGGCATTTTTAACTGTTTGCTTTGCTTTTGCTTTTGTTTTGTTGCAGGGGAGGCCGTATGCTTTTGATCATGTGTTTCCAACCAACACCACCCAGGAGCAAGTCTACAATACCTGTGCCAAGCAGATTGTCAAGGGTGAGGAACTACTGAATCCACTCAAAATATTACAAATAACTACAAACAATAAGAATAAAAAAATCTGTCAATCATTTATTTGTCGTGTCTTTCCATATGCAGATGTGCTCAGTGGATACAATGGCACCATCTTTGCATATGGACAAACGTCCTCTGGGAAGACTCACACCATGGAGGTCCATATTATATTATATTATATTATATTATATTATATTATATTATATTATATTATATTATATTATATTATATTATATTATATTATATTACATTATATTATATTATATTATATTATATTATATTATGTGTTCTATGAACAATTATAGAGAATCTAGTTTGACTGTTTTTACATTTACATGACACTATTTATCCACTGCTTTGCTTTGGTTCTGGTTTGTTTTGTTTCTGCTCCAGTTAATGGAAACTGGACAATTGTTTTAACAGAAAATATCTATTTTAACAACTGTTGTCCTGAAAACAAAACAATTAATTTTTTTTTTTTTAAATCACAAATCTTGCTATTTTTTATATTACAAATTGTTCGTTTTAGTGTCTTATGAGTGTTATTGTAGAAAGAGCTCGCATCTTCTCAGTGCTAATTGTTCATCTGTTTTTCATCTGTTTCAGGGAAAGCTGCACGACCCTCACCAGATGGGCATCATTCCTCGCATTGCTGAGGATATTTTCAATCACATCTTTGCGATGGACGAAAACCTGGAATTCCACATCAAGGTCTAATTTTAGAGTTGCTGCAGCATGTGTTGTGAACATTTCTCGTTTAGGAAGGGTGTCTCATTTAGATTTGTTTTTTTAAACCTCCTCTTCTTTTTTATTTGCTGCCTCCTTTTTCCTCATTTTCTACATCAGGTTTCCTACTTTGAAATCTACATGGACAAAATCCGCGACCTGCTGGATGGTTAGTAAATAGAGATTGAAAAGAGATTAAAATAATAGTTTGCTAATTTGAAGAAGTATTTGTCTTATTTATTTTGTTTTCTTTTGGCTATAAATGTCTAAATCAAATAGATCTGATGTTATTTTCATGTTTCGTTTCTTTTAGTGACAAAGACCAACTTGTCTGTCCATGAGGATAAGAACAGGGTTCCATATGTTAAGGTTGGTAACAGAGATGCTCTATTTTCATCCTTCTAGCTTCTAAGTTAATCACTGGCTGGATTATTACGTCAACAATAACATCTCTGCCTCATTTTCTCCTCCACTTAGGGATGCACTGAGCGCTTTGTGTCCAGCCCTGACGAGGTTATGGATGTGATTGATGAAGGCAAAGCCAACCGTCATGTTGCTGTGACCAGTGAGTATCAGTACAATCCAATAAAAAACATTTATACTCTTTGAGCTTTAAGTGAGCTTTAAGCGTATATATTTTTACAATGCAACCTAACCTCAAACTTTAATAGATATTGGACTTTTCTTTGATAATCCATGCAAAGTAGGATAGACTGTGAAGAGGAGGGACAAGGATACATCATTTTCATAATGTAACTGTTGTGAAGATCTGTATTTGAAGAAACTCACGGCTCCTGCTGTTCCCAATGTTATTGATAATGACATGTTATGAGTAAATGACGGTCAAGTTTCTGTGGCCCAACATGGTTCCTTGTAATGTAAGCTCCACATTACTGGAAAAAAGAACTAGATAAATAATATTAACTGAGATTTCTTTTGACTGAAATATTTATATACATATATTTAAAAAAATTAATTTACAAAAGTGCTTTGTAAATTCAAGCCATTCATCTTCTAAAAAGAAATAAGAGACAAATCTGATGCTTAAATCCTGGAATGTGAAACAGGTGGGTGAATTATTGGGATGCATGACGGCTGGGATGGGAACAGGAGAGAAGAGCTGTGGGAAAGTGATGAGTGATGACACAGCAAACTTGGGCCGAACACAAAAGAAATGATTTAAGAATGAAGCAAGAGTCCAACACAGGGACACACAAGACAAACAAACATGCGTACGCACACCAAACATGCAAGTTTTCTTCATGGAAATGAGAAAACATGCACAAAGATCCCTGTATGCGGTTTGAACTTGATGAAAAGATGCACAATTTTAAAATGCAGTATTGTGAAAAGTCAAGAAAAACAAAATTGACCCCAAAAATTTAATAACACAAGAAGCAGAAAATAAATCTTGAACATTCATCCATAAAGATGACATTTTAAATAAATGGGAAAATTGAGCACTTTGCTTTATTTTTGCACTTTTGTCACTTCAACCCTGCAAATTCATTTCTCTCTCGTTATTGTTGTTGTCTTGAAGTTAGTGCAATATCACAAGCTTGCAATTAAAAATGATAATTTACCATTATTGTGTAATATTCAAGTCTATAATTATTTCAGATATTGGTGTAAACTGTTTTTAGTATAATTGCTCCTGTACTTTTGCACTGTTTCCTGCTTTGGTTACAAACAACATGTTCAAGTAGAACAATTTGTCCAATTTTATTCTCCCTACAACCTTTAAAAATAAAAGATTTTAAATGTCTGTGATTTTAAAGCCAAAGGCAGACTGAAACAGAAGGGGATCATCAGAGGAGCTTTGGGAATCGGTGTATTTAAGACACACAAGTCTCAAACTTACAACATTCTCGAACATGCAGAAGCGGCTCTCAGATTTGCTGAAAGCTGCATTCCTGTGCGGCGCAGGGTTGTCCGGTTCCCGTCGCCGCCTGCTGACTCATGGTGCTGCAGAGCGATGTTGCTGATAGCAGCCTAATGGGGCCACAGTCTGCCGACGCTGAGCTGATGCCCTCAGATATCTCAGAGAAACCTGAACTTTCAGCCTGTGAGGCGGTTCGATCAGGAGTCATTTAGCAGAGTGCTGCTCATTTATCAGCGGCTCGCTGTGAAACGGGCAAATCCTCCTGCTGTGATGTTGACTGCTGTGATCGATTTGAAACTAATTGTAGGGAAATTTTTAATTATTAAAAATAAACAACAGGTTACCACTTGCACTTCATAACGCTCTTTATTATGAAGAGCTTTGTGTCTTTCAATGTGATGCTTACATGGCTGCCGTGTAGTGAAGGTAATTAAGTTGCCTTTCATTCAACTCTAATTACAACAGCATAATCTGCAAATCAATCACTGGTTTCTGTTTTCCAACCGTGACTTTTCGGATATGTTTTCCTTTCACTCTTTTCCAGAAAATCGGATGATTTTCTCCATTTTTGGTTGGGGGGGTCAGGAGAGGACACCATTAATGTCAGAATCCACAAGGCAATAACTGATTTGCTTCATATAAGAACAATGTCTTTAATTGTATATCACATAAAATCCCAATAAAATTAGTTGAAGTTTGTGGTTATAACATGACAGAATGTGATAGTTGAAATAGTAATGGCTAATTTTACAAAGAGCTTTATGTTGGGTAATAGAGACATTATGAGATATGTCAGGCCCTACATTCGTCGACTTTCTTTATTTAAAAGTTAGTAATAATGCACCGTATTTAAAAGTTGCCCTGTATGGGTGCATCTTTCTCAAACTTCAATGGATCATTTTTAGTCCCAATCACTACAAATCGCATCGTGATTTTCCTAATTACTTGCTCTGTGTTATATTTTTGTCTTTCTCCAGACATGAACGAACACAGCTCTCGCAGCCACAGCATCTTCCTGATCAACATTAAGCAGGAGCATGTGGAGACGGAGCAGAAACTGTGTGGGAAACTCTACCTGGTGGATCTGGCTGGCAGCGAGAAGGCAGGAGACGCATGCAGGACCGACAAATATTCAACAACAGTCAATTCTCTATAAATTCAGAACGGTGATTATTCTTCATGTTCACTTCCCCCTCCAGGTGAGTAAGACCGGAGCTGCTGGTTCTGTCCTGGACGAGGCTAAAAACATCAACAAGTCTCTCTCTGCTCTGGGGAATGTCATCTCTGCTTTGGCCGAGGGAACGGTAACAGCAGTCGTTCCTCTCTTGATTCCCTGTTTGCCATTTCTGTTTCTGCTAACATTTAGAATAACCAAAAAAATCAGTTTCTGTTCTTATATTTCGCTTTTCTCCTGCTCTTTGTCATTGATTTATTCATAGTCTTTTCTCTTTCCCGATCTTTCATTTCCTGCAGAAAAGTCACGTTCCGTACCGCGACAGCAAAATGACCCGCATCCTGCAGGACTCGCTGGGCGGGAACTGTCGCACCACCATGTTCATCTGCTGCTCTCCGTCCAGCTACAATGAAGCCGAGACTAAATCAACTCTGATGTTCGGACAGCGGTAGATACATAGTCGATACTGCTGTGCATGTCCAAAGCATCATACTGTGTGATGTTACAAAACGTGGAAAGAAATTCTTATTTATATATTAATGATAAAACAGTTTTAATAAAGCAATTCTTAATTCTAACCTGAATTTATTCCCTTTCCTTCTCCTGGTCACAGCGCCAAGACCATAAGGAACACGGCCTCCATTAACCTGGAGCTGACCGCCGAGCAGTGGAAGAGGAAGTACGAGAAGGAGAAGGAGAAGAACAAGACGCTAAAGGAGACAATTCAGAAACTGGAGGCGGAGCTCAACCGCTGGAGAAACGGTGCGATTAAATGTTGTCCTCTCTTCCAATCAGGCCGTCGATTTGGCTGCATAACTTCTGATCAGACCCGAGATGCAACATCGTGTCTTCTGCTTCGTAGGAGAGGACGTACCTGAGACTGAGCGGACCACGTCAGACATGGTGACTCGCATCGAGACCGTGGAGGAGCGCCCCATTCTGGACAACGACACCTCCTCCATTGTGGTCCGCATCTCCGAAGAGGAGCGGCAGAAGTATGAAGAGGAGATCCGCAAGCTGTACAAGCAGCTGGATGACAAGGTTGAAACCCACAAACTGAAACAGTTAGTTATGTAAACTATGTTAATTTTGTGTTGGAGTAGATGTGCAAAGCTGCCCTCAAATTTGGTATTTAAGACTGACCTGGATCTGTGTGATGCTATACACATTTCAGTCCAATGATTCAATTTTTGTAATTTTGCCACATTTTACTGTTAACAAACTGGCGCCCCACGTGAGGCTCGAACCTATGACTATGAGAGTAAGAGTCTCGTTCTACCGACCGAGCTCGTCGGCTCAGTCAGGTATTTTCAACATTTTAAGGGTCAATATTCATTTTATCATATTTGTTGCAGGATGATGAGATCAACCTGCAGTGTCAGCTGGTGGAGAAACTGAAGCAGCAAATGCTGGACCAGGACGAGGTGAGAAAACTCTCCCAAATGTCCTGAATGATCAGATTCTGCCTTTAGCTCTCAATAAGTTCGGTTGTGTCTTTTATGCCGGCAGCTCCTGGCCTCGTCCCGGGGAGACGGGGACAAGGTCCAGGCTGAGCTCGGCAGGCTGCAGGTGGAGAGCGACTGCGCCAAGGCCGAGGTGAAGGAGGTACTTCAGGCTCTGGAGGAACTGGCCATTAACTACGACCAGAAGAGCCAGGAGGTGGAGGAGAAGGGCCTGCAGAACCAGCTCTTGGCCGACCAGCTGTCCCAGAAAATGGTACGTTTCACTGTGACGCGATTGGTGGAGGGAGTTAGACAGGAGAACAGAGCTGAGAGGCAGGATGGGAAACAGAAGGTCCATTCTGTCCACGCTGCAACCGAGAGACAAGCAAATGTTCACTCACTACTATAATATCAAAATACAATTTTCTGGCTGGAATGATGTCCATCATAGCTCCATGTGCTTCTCCTTTTCCCTCCCCAGGCGAGTCTGATGGAGCTGGAGGCCGAGCTCTCTCGTATGCAGGAGGTGAGCGGTCAGCAGAGGAAGCGCATCGCCGACGTCCTCAACGGACTCATGAGGGACCTCAGCGAGTTCAGCACCATCGTCGGGAATGGAGAGATAAAGCTGGTGAGCCCAACTGCAGAACTGGAAGAGGTTTCATGTGGAGATTATGGAGGCAGATCCCCTAAAAAATCTTAAACTCAGTTATCTCAGCTACAGGCTTCAGTAGAGTAAAATTCTCCATTTTTTAAATGCTCTGTGGCATTAATTTGTTTTTTAGTTTTGCCTCAGGAATTCGGTTGTTGATGCCCTAATTTGCAAAAAATAAATAAAAAAATCCCAATCTTTCAGATTTTGAGGACAGTTCTTGACTCTTTTTATGAGTTCAGAGATTCTTTATGTCAGATTTAGTTCTGACTAGTCCCTTTGCAAAACTTACATCTTCCCTTTATGAAACGTTTCTTTAGTGGGTTTCTGTTCTGACTTGCCGTGAAGCAACTTCAGCTTGCTTGGATAAGAACATGTAGGACTGCTCATGTTTAGAAAAGGTTTTATTCACAACTTTCTCTTGTTTTTAGCAGACATATCTTGTAAACTGTGGCCCAAAACTTCAAATTTAGTTCCCCAACAGAATCATTCATTCAATTTTTCACTGTAAATATAGTTCTTAAACCAAAATCAAAAAAGCAGAATAGAAGAAAAAAAGATTTAGTAACTATAATAAACTGAGAGAAGCTTTGTTGTGATTGGCTGCTCTTTGTCCTGGTGTAAAATTGGATGAAAACTCATTCGTATTTGTTCGTGCAGCCTGTGGAAATCAGTGGCGCCATCGAGGAGGAGTTCACCGTGGCCCGCCTCTACATCAGTAAGATCAAGTCGGAGGTGAAGAGCATGGTGAAGCGATGCCGCCAGCTGGAGAACATGCAGCTGGAGTGCCACCGCAAGATGGAGGAGACCGGGCGGGAGCTCTCCTCCTGCCAGCTCCTCATCTCTCAGGTGCCAACGCATGTGAATGTGGAGTAAAACAGAAAGGAATAAACTAAAAAAAGCAAACACGGTTGAAGGAGTGGAAGGGTTTTCACGGCTCATGCTGTTGTTCGTGCTTTCTGTTCATGCAGCATGAGGCTAAGATCCGCTCTTTGACTGAGTACATGCAGAGCGTGGAGCAGAAGAAGAGGCAGCTGGAGGAAAGCCACGACTCCCTGACTGAAGAGCTGGCGAAGCTGCAGGACCAGGGTAACAGCAGCACAGAGCTCAGGGAAACCTGTCTGCAAAATAAATTCTGCTTTCTCGCTTCATGTCGCTTTTTTTTGCTTGTTTGCCACTGGACTTACAGACAACTCTGTGCTTGAGGAGAAAGATGGAGAGAAGGGTGAGATCGAGGATGGAAATACGAAGGTAACAAAGATTTTACTGTGTTGGTGTACTTTCCTGTAAAAACGCAGTAATTCCTTTAAATCTCACAATAAGTTTGACTCAAATGACCCTCTTGAGATTCACCTGCTAAAAACCTATACCAGATTTTTTGTTAATTTGATTAAAGTGTTTAATGCACAGACAGGAGAAACCATGCTCTATTATTAGTCAGCATCTTTTAATGCGCGTGGTTTTCCCAACTTCCAGAAAGCGCTTCGTCAGCAGGGGGAGTCTCACCGCGGCCTCCATCACAAGCAGCTCACCCGTCTGCGGGATGAGATCAACGAGAAGCAGAGGGTCATCGATGAGCTCACCGAGTCTGTCGTCATCTGATTTTATTTTACCAAAAGATTCTTTTCCATCCAATCGTTTATTTTCAATAGTTATTTGCTTTTTCACTTGTGTTTTACATGGAAGGAACTGTGATCTCTTATTTTTGATTTCCTAAAACTTCAGTCGTAACTCCAAGCTGGAGCTGGAGCTGGCTCAGGTGCGTGCCGACTTTGATCGCCTGAAGAGTCAGGACAGCTGCAAGAGCGAGCGCCTGGAGGAGCTTTCGTACGTATCTGGGAGTTTTTAGTTTCACCAAAGCTAGATTTGGATTAAAGTCATAATCCTGATGTTCAAGAAAAGGAAATAAAAAAGGAAAAGAAATGGCCATTTAGTATGTAAATAAGCATTTATACATATTTGAGGTCAGAGGTGACTGATCTGAGTTTTATTCTAGCAGAGACCTGAGAACAACTGAACAGATTCTGCTACTGCTTTTTGTTAGGTTCCTGCATGAGCGCCATGAGCAAACCAAACAGGACCTGAAGGGTCTGGAGGAGACTGTAGTGAGTAAAACAGACACAACTCTCCATCTACTTACAACTCCCAGAGTTTCTCCCTGAAGGACACTGTATAAGTTTCACATAACAAAGAAAGTAGTTGTTTTTACCGCAGGTCTGCAAGACCAAAACAATGCAATTTATTTATTTATTTTTTGATCTAGCAGCCCTGGGTTTTGTAGTTTTTACAAGCTTTTCTTGTGAAAACTACAAGAACTACAACAGTCTTCAATTGTCGTCATCTGGGCCGACAACAGTCATGTGATTGGTCCAAACTTTGAATTGGGCAGATTTCACACGCTGAAATGCTCCAGTGGGAGGGACTTATGAAGACTTTCCAGAGGCTCTGCACTTGAGTTCCCTCTTATGGAGCATCTGTAGATTTCAACCATCTTTTCGTCTTCCAGGCCCGTGAACTCCAGACCCTCCACAACCTGCGCAAGCTGTTCGTTCAAGACCTCACGTCGCGGGTTAAAAAAGTAAGAGGCTCAGCTCTCAAGAAACCCGCGAGCCACAAGCATCTCACAAAGACTCACGAACATATTCATACGCCTTGAAACTCTTCACATTTTGCTGCATTCCAATGACAGATTGCAATTTATTTTATTTTACTTGAAAATGATGTGATAGGTTGACACAAAGTAAAGTGGAAGGAAAAGGATTCATAGTTTGAACATTTTTATTTTTAAAACATAAATATGAAAAGCAGCAGCTCCAATGGGAGAAAAGACTGCTGACATGCTTTATGGGAAAGAAAGGCAATATTAAAAGAAAATAACCGACCACTTGTCTACCTCTAAACACATTGCAGTCCTGAATAAAAAACAGTTTTAAAGGCTGAAACTGGGGCACTAAACAGTGATAACATGGTTTGTAAAAAAGAAAAAAAAGGATACAAAGTATTAATCATTTATCTTCCACTTTTCATTTAAGCTTACCAATGTTACAAAATGTAAAAACATAAGGGCAATATGAGCAATTTTGCACTCAACAATTTTGTGCGCTGTGTTACTTTTGATTTTTTTTAATATTTCTAAAAGTATATATTGTTATTACCAGACAATTCATTAGCTCCTCTGTTAAGAAGCTTTCCCTTTTGGTTTTCTCTTTGTTTTTCCTTGTTTCTGTCTCTGCAGAGTTCCGAAATGGAGCCTGATGATAGCGGGGGGTCGAGCACCCAGAAGCAGAAGATTTCCTTTCTTGAGAATAACCTGGACCAACTTACAAAGGTTCACAAACAGGTGAGAAGTGCACAGAAATGAGACAAGTTGTAATAGTAAGCAATGTGAACCTGTAGATTGGAATTACAACTAAGAGAAGACGTATGACATCAATACAAAAGAGTTATTATGATTCATCATTGTTATTTTTTACTCACTTTTTGCACCAGTCAGTTTTGGGTCATTTGCTTCAAACACACAAGTTGATTGTGAGTTTGAAACTAATAAATGAAGATCTCTGTGAACTACTTATTACTATTGCATCTGTTTTCTGTCTCTCTTTCCTCCCAGCTGGTTCGTGACAATGCAGATCTGCGTTGTGAGCTTCCAAAGCTGGAGAAACGTCTTCGGTCTACTGCTGAGAGAGTTAAGGCCCTGGAGACTGCACTGAGAGACGCCAAAGAGGGCGCCATGATGGACCGCCGCCGCTACCAGCAGGAGGTGGATCGGATCAAGGAGGCCATGAAGTCTAAAATCGCTCTTAGACGCCCCCATGCTGCACAGATCGGTACGCTTCTCTCACTTATCCTTCGCAACGGTCAAGCATGACGGTGTGACTACGAACAAATCTCATGTGGCGCTTGTCATTCCAACAGCAAAACCAGTGAGACCAAAGCAGCTGCCTGTCTGCTCTCCCACCAACCCGTTTTACGCCTACATCCGGGCCACAGAGCACCCCAACGCCTACAGCAATGCCCTCTTCCAGAGCAGCACGACACCCAAGAGCTCCTCCAGCATCGACTGCAACCTGAACTCTGTGCAGAGCAACGCGTGAGTTAAATACTCCCTCCATCTACGCCATCTTTGACTTAAACAGTTGTCCATATTTCTGCATGTTTAAACGCAAAGTCGTCTGCGTTGAATGTGACAGACCAACACAAAGTGGTAATTGTGAAGCAGAAGGAGAACGCATGATATTAGAAACGTTGTTACATTTAAATAAAGAGGTTAAATAAATATGCTGCCGGTTAATATATGGAGTAAAAAATGAGACGCCAACGTTTGTGAGAATGTTTTTATAAGAGACGAATGTTAGAGACTGGAGACTGGGACAGAGCTTCCAGTAGAAAAAACAACTGAAAACATGCAGACACAGAAACAATGAAATCCCTTATTCATGTTTTAGAATGGCCCAGTCAAAGTCCAGCCATAAATCCTCATGGAATATATATGATAAAACTTGAAAACTGTTCTCATCAGAACTTTCAGACCCTCAGAAATGTTCCAGTAGCTTGTGTTGGTCTGTTAGGACAACTGAATCGACAAAATACTCTGAAGTTAGTGGCGATTATGTGACAAAATACTATCAGATACAAGGTACTACTTTGTAATACCTGGTACATAAAGGCGCACAGAATCAAACGAGCTGATTTTGTGCTGTGAAACGAAGAGATCTCGCAGATTACCTCATTTAGTTGCAATGTTTTCCTGTTTGGCAGAGTTTCCACAGCTCTGGGCTACAGGGCAGGGAGATATAATGGAGATGTGCTGGAGTCCTACCCACTCAACATTGACAACGGTAAAATAAATAAAGAAATACATATCTCAACTGTTTGTTGAGCTCTAATTGTGTTTTAACATCTTGTCAAACTCCTGACGTTTCTCCATCAGGAAACAGCATCAATGAAACCAGAGACATAAATGACAACAGGTGAGAGCTCAAGGAAAATATTCACCGTTTTATTGCCGTAAAGCAACAACGAAGGTTTTTAACCTTTATTGAGTCAGTCAAGATGAAACACAAAATGTTTTCTTTTTTGTGTGTCTGCTTCATCAGAAGTGACATTCGCTGTGGCAGCGAGGCGGATGACTCAAACAGGCACAACAGCATGCAGCAGCCGCAGACTGCTTCAAGTTGTAAGTTTATACGAATGTGACCTTTAATCTAACATACCTGATGCCACACTCAGAATTTTAGATTTTTTGGCATCCACACACTTCACTTTCTGCGTAAAGCGTTATTAAAAGGCGGAATTCCTGACGTTGTCCAACTAAACACTTTCCCCTCTTGCCTATTAATGTAAATAAAACAGCAGTAGACGCAAACCCAGGAAAAAAAATACTTTGGTTCTGTTTGGTTTGGCTTTAGCCACTAAAATTAAATCTAGTTGTTTTTTTTATTGAAATTGTAGCTTCCGCCCACATCCTTCATCACAATTATTGAGGACATTAAAATTGCATCCTGTTTTTTGTTGATGACATGTGGAAATATTGAAACAACATTTAACATACCAGCCAGGATGCTAAAGCGTGGGCACAGATTGATATTCTGTCCCAAATGGGCCAAAATTTCTGTGGAAGAATAAAAAGCTTGTGGAAGAATAACATTTTTACCAAAATGATGCCGTCTAAAGACACTTTGATCAAATATTAGGGAAATATGTCTAAAACAAAATCAATTTGCATGCATTCTCTTAAGCTAAAAAGCTCTTTATCATTCTTATATTTACTAAGCGCAAACATTTTGTCATCCTAACTGACCGAGGGTAAAAATGGCTTAGTCACATATAATGTCGGGCACTGAGGGAAAAATCTTGTTTGTTTTGTTTTATTGTTTTATTTAAATAGTAGGTTTGAATTGTATTACACTGAAGAAAACATCACTGTTCTAAAGAAAATATAGTATACTGGCGAAGAGCTTTTTTTTAGTAGCTTTAAAAAAATAATTTTATGCATTAGATTCACACACATTAAGCAAGTGTGCAAATGTGTTTCTGTGGTTTAATGAGGTGTTGCATGCACTTAGACATGTTCCTCTGATATTTAAAGCCAGGCATTAAACTGGAAAAAAAAAACATCTATAAATATGGCTTGCAAAACGAAAAACATAGCCCAACATAAAACAAACCAAAACCAAAATCAACCCAAATTGAATGATGATTTAATCTTCCTTCCTGTCTTTGCAGAGCTCAACCAAACACTGTAACCCTTGAAGGACCCTCCCGTTTCGTTTGCATGCAGCCTCTGTGACCTCCGTCCACCGCACCACCACTGATGATGAAGATGAAGATCTGTAGGCCTGTGGTAGATGAAGCCCCCTCCTGTTCCCTTTCTTGCTCTCCATTTTGGGTTCAGTCCCTCCCGGTTCAGCCGGTGCTGAGCATGTTCTCTCAGGCTCTGCTTCGCTCAGACAGTCTAATCACAGATGAATCTAGATTATTGATCTGTGAGTTCATCAACCGGGCCGGTAGATATCACTGCCTGAGGTGGCTGAACCGAACCAGGACTGGACCCAGATTGCTCGATGCTCACACTTTGTAAATATAGTAGTGCTGTATACTCCTGCAGTTCTTTTTCTTCTTTTTGTTTTCGACCAACAACTGTTTGTCCAAATTGCCACACTTGCTCTGCTTGAGCAACCATGAATCTTTTATTCTGTCGTAAATAAGAGCAAAATCCAGCTATTTATGACATAGTTGTAAATAGCAGCTATGTCGTAGCTGCTATTTACTACGACATAGCTTTTTTGTGCAGTCTTTTTGTGCATGCCGCTTAAGTTTCCTGACCAAGCTTTCAAATCTCTCTGCATGTGTCTTATATGAAGCTGGCGACAGATGCTAGAAACAAGAAACAAGAGAGGGATGATTTCCTTCAGTCCACATCTTGGTGTCAGTGCTGTATGTTTTCGATCTCAAAGTAAATCTCAGTGCAGATTTAGGTCATTGTAAATTTAAAAAAAAAAGGCAAAAACACAACGAATATTCGAGTGAATCCCAGCTAAGATTCGCAGTTGCATTGAGTGAATCTCGACTGACTGCTTTGATAATGCTGCAGCTGTACGATGGTCCTCTGGCCATTCCCTGCACCGCTCACACACTTCAGTGTCCCCTTTACCGAGCCTTAACATCAACCGATACTTCACAGTCAACTGAACTCGCTGGCATTTGCATAAAGTACATTTGTAATTACTACCTCTAGAGCAGCTTGTTGTTTATGAATACCTTTCTTTTCAAATGCTGATTAAAAAAGAGCTGATCCTAGAGTTTCTACAGACAGTTGTAACTTTAGAATAAGAGTACGTATAAGTAGATTTTGACGTATTAACCATAACTGTAGTTTTCGCCTCATGCTGGTTCATAAAATAAAAAAAATACATTTTTATTTCCTCAGAGCTTGGCCGATGCGATGGTGTTTGCAAAAATGGCCTTTTCTGCTTTGAAAGGACACCATGGAACTTTGTTGTTGTTATTTGTCACAAGACTTGACTCCAGATTTTTGCATACATCCTTTCCCAAATGTGCAGAAAAGCAGAGGCTGTTTTTTTTTTTTTTAACATTTGACATATGGGCAGTTGCCCAGGACGGCATTAAAAAACGGGCGCACAAACACCATATCCACTATGTAACCTATTTACCTGTTTGTCGCGTTCTTAATAAGTTTTCTATCGTTTCTGACATGTGCAATTAAATGAGAATTGGTACCTCCATGTTGTGTCCGATCCTGCTCACATTGGGACCACATAGGCTTAGGCACAAGCTGCTCTGTGACGCCTTGTTTTCCTTCAGGTAGAGTGGTTTGGTGCTAAATTTGGCTTTGCACGACTGGGGGATGAAACTGGAACCGTTTCCATGGGTGTTTTTATCATGGAAAGCAGAATCGAAAGGGAGGAAGTAGCAGAAGTGGATGGGGGGCGAGAAGGAAGTGAAGGATCCTTCAGAGACAGTATGGAAGCTGTTACTGAGGACCCAAACATTGAATGCTTCAGGTTTGATTCCCGACTGATCAGCCACCAGTGCGGGACTTTTTGAAGAAGTTGTGTGTCCTGTTGTTGTTCTTCTGCAAAATCCTGACCAGCCAATCAGGATAGAGGAAAGCAGCACTTCTTATGGGTGGGAGTCAAGTTTGCTGTGAATCGTTGTCTCAAAATGGAAAGGAAAGAGTTAAGTGAGCAGCTAAACACCCAACCATCTTCTGTCTTCTGCAGTAAATCTGACCGAACTTCAGAGTTTAATTAGCCAATTACACCAAAAAACCCCCAAAAAACAGATTTAAAAATGCTGAAACATTTATCCCGTGCAAATTCCTCCGTTCTTTTTCATCACATTACCGCTCGGTCTGATGCTCTTGCTGGCATTAATAACATCTCAGGGCTTATTACACACATAGTTAAAGCAGGCATACATCACCGCCATTGTCTTCCTCCTGAGCTATGTGATTGCTGATGAACAATCAACCTGATCAGTGTCAGTGTATCCTCCTTCAGTCTAAGCAAATGAGCGAGGTGACTCGTGAGATTGGAAAAGATATGTAATAACCATGCCTCCGTTCTAACTCATAGCCTTTCAACCCTGCAAACCTTCAGTCTTATATCATATTTACATTTTTTTAATAGATCTGCATTAGAAGGATTGTGTAATATGTCGTCATCTGCTGTTACACTGTCTGAACTCAACATATCTACGATACATGTGCTATATATTGGTAAACCTGTAAGTAAAAAGGCGCATCATGACATAGTAGGATGCACGCTGACCTCGTTCAGAGAAATGCTCCTTTTATTTCTTTCTGTATGCTTCTAATTGTAGTGTCGACATGATTATGTGAAGAGTCACCTTGCAGAATATCTGTAAATATAGATTCATCACTATGCTGTATGTAAACCTGTGTGTTGTAGTAAAAAAGTTCAATAAAACTGTAAAAATGGTGATTTGGTCTCGTTCTTCTTCATGCTGTGGTGTGGACGCTGCACGATAAATGTGAGAACAGATGGAAATGGCGCCTTCTCGTGGTTCATATGGTTGAGGTGCAAAACTTTCAGATTTGATTGACTGAACTGTAGGAGATGCTGTCATTTCTCCTGCAATTGTGTTCAGTCTTTCTGGGTAATTACTTTGTAGAGCCACTCTATGTAGTCTCAATCAGCTTTACCCTTTTAGAAATGGCATCTTTCCATTTCTAAAAGGGTTGGATGAGTACATCTTGTGATAATCAATTTTCAGGTCGGCCCACAAATTTTGATAAGTTTTCAGGTCTGGACTCACAAACTGAATGATCTGAGCTCTTATTTTGAAGCTCTGGCAGGATGTTTAGTATCGCTGAACATCAGTCTCAACTTTCTTTTTTTCTTTTTTTTGCTGGCTGTAACATTTTCTAGCAGGATTGCCCTTTCTTTCTCTCCATCCATTCCCCTTAACTCTGACCAGCTTGATGGTGCTGTCACGACGGTTCGCCGTGCCGATGTGTTTTCATGTGTAGCTTAGTTTTCTGAATTAATTATTTTGCATACAAATCAAGTCGAAGCAAACTTTTGTTCTGCTCAGCTAATGGTCACACAAAAAGAGGGACTACTTGTCACCAGGAAAATGCAGTTATTGCACATTTTCCAGTTCTTACAGTGTTCATTGAAATGCCCAAGCAGAAATTTGCAACTCCCTTCAGTGACTACATTTCCTGCTCTCTGGTTTTATCGCAACCTCTGACCTAAACAGGAAATTGATGTGAAGTGATCTAAGAATGGAGACTTGCCAAAGAAAAGCTGAGATTAAAGGAATGTCAACAGCAGAGAAACGAATGAATTAAGCTGCAAGCACTGACTACACAATAACCACAGATTTGAAAGGTGCTAAAAATACATAAAATGCACATTGAAGGTGCAGTTATACGGACTCTGCTTTTGTCAGCGTTCACAAAATACTGCTGAGATGAAGAAAAGCTTTGCCTTCAAAGGTACTTGCTTCCTTCGTGTTATTTTATAATAAGCTCCACTTCATCGTTCCCACGAGAAAGGAAGCAGTGATGTAAACAGCAGTGGCATGTGAAGCATCTTCAGGCCACTGCGGGTTTAAGTAAATAAGAAAGATGTAGATGAGCTGCTCGGTACTATGACCCTTAGTTCATATGATTGGAGTATGAGACAGATTTTTGCTTCTTTTTTTTTTGTAACTTAAATATTATTCTTGGTTTATATCTAAAGCGACAATGAGCATTTCATGTAGATTTGATCTCATTTTACATTATTATGACATTGCTGAGAAATCCATCAACTATATTTGGACATGTCAATTTAAAAAAAATGTAATTTTTTTTTTGTTTTTGTTTTTATTAAAGTTTCAACAGGTGTCTTTTTCTATTCAGTCACAAACATGTTGACGGAAGAAAAATGAATCAAAAGTCAGATGTGCGTTTAATTTGAGGAATTTCCCATTTGTGCATCTAATCTAAAGATCAGTTACTGTCGCGACATTTACACCAGTAATGATGTGCAGATGTGAACCTGAAGCACCAAACACAAGAACATGATGGCAGACTGATCTGATCCATGATCCAGTGGCGGAGCCAGAGGGGTGGCCGGGGTGGCACTTGCCACCCCCAACAGAGCCCTTGCCACCCCTACTGCCACCCCACTGGAAATGGTAATTTTAAAATATAATACTTATGAGATCGGCAAAGATTTTCCAGGAAAAATGTAATTTCCGACTATCCCTGAAGGCAGCTCGATGCCCGACGCTGTTTATTGGTTAACTGACATGTGGTTCCTGCTTGATCCAAAACACATCCGCGGCTTTAGAGTTACACCGTCAGGAGTTCTGCAGGTATTTCCAACATTTTACCGCTCAGCGGTAACCACTGTTACCTTCCTAATGAGAGGCGACACTTGTCATACATTTCTAAAAAGAAAAGAAAATGGTTGTGCACCGCTGCGTAGTGTCTCGTTTATTATATTAGCCATGCTAGTGCTGATAGATCGTGTTTTAGACAGATTCTTTTAACATATGTTTTAGTGAGATGCTGCCCTGTAATGTTTTATATCTCCCAGCTCTTGCTTGAAATGTGTGGTAAGAATATGTGAAAAACCATTAAGTTTTATAATGACTGAAATGTAAGTAGCTATGTCATATGAAGCTTTGAATTATAACCTAACTAGTTATATTAATTAATTTTGAACGAAAGGAAACAAATATTTTTTCCTTTCGTTCCATGGAACGGTCCATTTGTATATGGACCCTCTGATAAAGCCTTGCTCACCCTTTGGTCACCCCTTGAAAAAAAGTCTAGCTCCGCCACTGCCATGATCTAATCGATAAATCACATTCATCTGTAATTTCACCTTCACGTGTTGCCACCGAGATGTGAAGCTGACTCAGACCGGCTCGGTAGTTAACAGTGCAGAGAGCTGCTTTGCTTTGACAGCTATTGATTATATAGGTGGGGAGGTTTGGGTAGGGGGGGTTGCGCGCGTACCCGCTGCGCGCTCCCGCTCCGCTGTGTGATCGACAGTCAGCGGCGCAGCGGCGCTGAACGGACTGCGAGAGACAGTCCGCGGCGGGCAGGCGGGCGGACTGTGTCCCTCAACCCGGTGGACGGAGGTCGGCCAGCAGCGGTTTCTGTCGCCTGCTGGGTTCACTGCAGCGCCGCAGAGGAGCCGGAGCCACCAGGTAGAGAGAGACGGTCACTGATGGTTGTTTCTCTGCAAAGCTGGAACGTCGTTTACAGCGTTTCAGATGCAGGGAGTTGCTGGACTGGAAGCTGCTTAGTTGGTAAAATGATAGACGTGGTCGCATGGTGGTGCCAGCCTCGGTCTGCTGTTTAGGTTTCTTTGGGATTATCAAATATTTAACTCATTTGGCTTGAAGGTTTCACTAAATAATTTGTCCCTCCCCAAGAAATGTCTAACTTGGAGCAGCTCTAACTTGCTGCAGGACTCCTGCAGCTTGGTTACATGCAGTTACTTTCAGATGTGCAGCTCTTATAGTCTGCACATTTAGGCTTTAGGTATGTAATTCCTTAAAAAAACAGAAATTATTTAACTGCATATTAAGGTGGTTTCTTTAGCAAACGTGTCCTATTTACTATAATCAATAACTACAGTCGATGAAACGCTGCTGAACACATGCACTGAATTTCTATCACCCGATACTAAAAGCAAGTTACTGTCATCCTGCCAGACACACCAGCAATCTGAGGATTGGATTTCACTTCAGCGAAATCAATTTAAAAAAAAGGGGGTTGAGTGAGTAATGAGGTTGATGCTTTTAATCAGAAGGGGTGATAATCCTCGCTGCTTTTATTCTTCTGGTCAGTCTGATCAGTTGCATAAACCCGAGACTGATGATGTGATGACACGCAGACACACTCACACGTCCAGGACGCTGTGGTTCGGTGTCACTGGTGGGTCCAAATGAACGTTGCTGAAGATTTGATACCGGGTGTCCGTCACTGCCGCTCAGGTCTTCAAGGAGATATTTGTGAGTGGAAGCGAGACTTGTGAAATGGGCACTGACTTCTGCTGTATCGAAGTGCCTGCAGACTTCCATTTATTTTGGACACCAATGTGATTAATCATGTCAGAGAGTTTTAAGAGCGTTTGATGTTGTGCTTGGGCTCTTACAGTACTTATGTAAGCCTTAATTTGGCTAAAAACAAAACTAAAGCGATTCACATCACAAACAGCTGTGGTGTAATTGTGGGAAGGTTTCTTTTTTTTTATTTATTTATTTATTTTTTTTATTAATTGACAGAAATGTTTTCAATGTTGTTATTTTGCAACTTTACTGCACACCCAACTGATTTTGGATTTGAAATTTGAGCAATTTGCCTCGACAGCCAGTTTTAAGAAACTGAATTGGATCATTTTGGGGTTAAATGTTGAGTCTGAAAAGAAACGCATGTAAACCGATTCAAAAGCATGCTGCCAGTCAGTCCGCCTTGGCGTCCGTGTGACCTGAGCGCCGTGACTTCATTCCTGCAGCCAGCTGTTACTGTCTGTCTGTCTGTCTGTGTGGCAGCGTCTCCTCTGCTTCAGGTCTCCTCCTTTGCTGTGCGGTAGAGGTTATAAATAAGAGGCTGAAGACTTTTGTGTGTGTGTTTTGTTTAACCAGCTGCCGGAGAGATTTGTTTGCCTCCTCTGACTGCAGGTGTGCTCCGTGGCCTCTAGATGATGTTCTCGAGCCTGTTCCGCCCGCCGCCTGTTTCTTTTTCTAACCACAAGTGTTTTTGTCTGTTTGCTTTGGATCAATGTCACCTGTTTCCTGTACTCTAGCACCCTGCGTCTCAATGCGCTGCCTCACAAAAACTATTCTTACCGCTTGAATGTTTATTTTTTTAAAGCATTTTCACACCACAATTCTTAATTTAAAAAAAAAATTGTCATGCATCGCTTTTAAAAATGTGCAAGATAAAAATGGAAAATTTATGGCAAACACACAGGGGCTGGTCAAAGTTTATGGGAACATGGGTGGAGTTAAGCGCAGGGCAATCCGCAGCAGAAGATTTAAGACTAGAGGTTCACCTTCCAGCAGGACAAGGATCCTAAACATTTGAATTAATGTTTAGATTGAAGCATTTCAACGAGTCAGAACCTTCAGAACTAAAAACCAGTTAAAATGAGTGGATTCGAAGGCACACACATCACCTTCCGTCTGCTTCGTAATTGTTTGCGACTCTGTTGGCCTTCCAGATAGAATCCCAATGAATTTTTGTGGTTAGAAAATAAGAAAACATTCAAGAAATATTAAGACTTTGTTGTTGTTTTTTTCCCCAAAATAGTTAAAAAATGCAGCACAAATGTGATTTAGGATGCAGATGTAGAGAGCCGGTGTGTGAAAACGTAAAATTCAAGGTCTGCAAATAACAACCATGACCGGAGGAAAGTTTTGGGCTGTGAGCTGGAACAGACTGAGAGGAAACAAACTCAAAGTACTGTGC